TTGTACCTGGATAGGCCACCTGAGTTCTTTGAACTGTACAATGTAGCAGAGATTAAGGATACGCTCCAGTTCTGAATGTGATCCTTACTTGGCCTGACAACTTTCTTGCCTTGACTTGAAACCACTGGGAACTAAGAGTAAGTGGCACCAGAGAGGAGCCACAGAGCCCTGAGACATCATGGGAATGAGATGAGAAGCAAGTCACTTGACAGGAGAACTTCAAGTCCCCCAAGACCTAAACTGGATGTTCCATGGGAATATTCTCAGAATTCCTGATGATGGACACTATAAAATGGTCATGCCAGGTGACCAGATTTTAGAAGAGCTTGTTGGACAGCAATAGAAGAAAGAATGAGCATTATATTATGAATTCTGGTGAATAAAACAGATATGACAGTTCAAACAGGCTTGGAAGCCACAAACAATAAATCACATATCAAAAGACAGTACAGCATTATAGAGGCCCAATGACAGAGGTTGAATAGGACCCCAAAGCATCTAAATCCATATCGCTAAGTGGAAAGAGGGTCTGACAGTTAGGTCAAAATGGGAGACATGATGGTGTTCAAGGAGGATGGTTTAGAACATGCAAAGATCTTGGGGTGAGCAAGAATAGAGTTCACTCCCGAAATGAAGGAAACGTAACGGTGACAATACAGGCAGTGACAGTGGGTAAGGATGAATTGACTGAAGCCACAAAGGGTCCTGGCTGTGCTCCTGGGGAATTCTGTCTCTATTTAATGGGGGATAGGAAGCCACTGAAGGACTTGAAGTATTCTGAACTGTGGGAAATGCCTCAGCAGAGTTCTGACCAAACAAGGGGCAGCAGCTACATGCAAAAAGGCCATTTAGTGGGACAAGACAATGATGTAGTCGAGGGAGAATGGCTGTCAGAAAGAGAGTACATTAGGACTGGCATCTAGTGTGTCACTTGCCGTAACATGCCAGAGTGATACTGAGGTAGTAAAAACTTTCAGCAAAACAAGTACTTGGATGTATGGGTATACTTGGATACAAGATGAGATTGGCAGAAAAATAACTATCTGTAATGAGTGCAACAGCAATGAAGTAGCAAGGGGATGCAGAGCAGAACACATCTGTGCGACAGGCACACATCTGAATAGGCAAAGGGAAAAGACGAGGCATTCCAGGTTTAGCTACAGATGAGAATCCAACATGGTTCCCTCTACTGAAAAGGCAGACACAATGTAAACGCCAACATTAGGGAACAGGTGAGATATATTAGAAGACACATTTGACACAGATATCTCTGTTGAAGATGATCAGGGTAGAAAACCCACTGCAATGGAAACAGCAGCCTGTAAAAGAATGCTAGCAGATGGCACTTTGAAAGCAATGGGGACGTAGGCTAAGATAAGCGCCTCTGGGGCTCTTTTTTTGTGTAACTATCTGATTCATTTTCTCTTCTGAGATTATAAAATAATTACATCATATCCTCTTCCCTTTCTTTCCTCCAACCACTCCCCTTCTGAACTTCTTATCATGGTTGCCTGATTACGTAAATCATTGGTACTTTTAGATTTTCTATATTGCCAAAAGTGGACCTTTAGTTTGAAAACATCTATAATAAGCATATAGAATGTTTATTACAAAAGCCATAAGCACTCTTAAATTTTTAAAGAGTATTTTCATTGACTTTATCATCAATGCCTTGTCTATCGATACTCCTGGAGATCAAGTTTATATACCTTCATGGACTGAGTATAATAACTCTCAAGTCATTGAGTATCATGAAATTGATTGTAAGTTCGGGTATTTCCCAACTATAAAAGTTCTTCTCTTCATCAAATAGTAGAAGAAGTCCTGAGAAATTCAGGACTTTTAAAACAGCTTTTAATTCAAACAGAGGAAGAGAAACAAAGGCGAAAGCCACAGGCAATCTGGTTGGCATGGCAGCACAGATGTGAAGAAAGCTGCTGCCTCCCTCACTTAAGGTACAGGGACCATAGAAGAAACAGTGGAAAGACTGGAGGAGTCAAAGGATAAAGGCGTGTCCAGTGAGATTGTGCTTCTAGGGATGCTCAAAGCTGTACCATGTCACACCAACATGACTGCCTGGACAGGAGCTAGAGAAGGAGGACACCAACAGGCACTCTAACATGGACTGGAAAAGCGGCAGAGGCCTCCACCCTACACAAAGAAATACAGGAAATTAAGGAATTCTGAGAGCAGAAGAAATGCTCTTCCCTGGGAGAGAACACACCACTGGATAGCCAATAGCAAATGGTTAGCCCTGAAAGCATACATACAAGTAACAATAAAGAGGCTGAGCAAGGTATGTTTTATGTATTCAGGAACGTGTGTGTGTGTGTGTGTGTGTAACGAAAATTAATGGAACGCCATGAATCTGCAAAAAAAGCAAGGAATATAGGGGAGGAAGGGAAGGAGATACTATGCAACTATATTATAATCTAAAAAAATAAAAGACTAAAGGAAAACAAGTGGCTTAGTTTTTCCCAGGCAACCAGAGGACAGCTTTGGAGAGGGAGTAGCCAGACTTGCAAGGATGAGACATGCTTGCCAGGTCATAAAATCACAGGAGGTACAAGACCTGTGCTGTGACCTTAAGATAAATTCAGGGAATTTCAAACAGACAAAGTAGGAAAGTGTGTATTCGGGGACTGAGGAAAAGGTGAGTACAGGCAGAGGGCCAAGTGAGTAATGGCCAAGGACACTGTGTTAAGTTGTAATGACTGCCCCAATGGGAGAAACATCCAGAAGAGTAAACGGGGGAGGAGGTAAGGGAGATGGAAAAGACAAAAATCGGACATCATTTCAAAGGTATTGGGATTTTTTTTTTTAAATTGCTTATTTTGCTTTTGTTTGGCACTGGGCTGAAGCCTTCCTGTAAAAATGGAAACCACAGAAAAATGTCAAGAGCTATTTTGGAGTTAGCATTAAAGGAAATCTTAAGTAACTGAAATGATAGAATGGTATGAAAGCAACCGAAGATTAACAGGAGGATGGTTGCTATCCCACGGACAGAGGGTTTTGTTTCCATTTTAGATATGACTTTGGATACTTTTCTCATATAGTGGCTGGAATAATATGGTTGATCCTTCTACATAAGACAGCCATTAAGCACAGCAAGAAGCATGTGAAGATATTGTTAACACTAGGGAAGAAAGTCTGGGGTGGCTAAATAAATTTGACAGCCATCAGAATATAAGTAGGGGGTAAGTCAGTTCACAGGGTGAAGACACCATTTGTTGCAAACTGCCTGTCCCAGACACTTAGCTTACAGTATCACATTGGATCCCCAGAACAACTCTTAAGACATTGTCACTGCAGGAAGCTTGAGAGGGATAAAGACTGGGAGGTAGATGATTGGAGCAAAATAGTACAATCCAGACGCAGAGGGCTAAAGTGTGAATGGGAACCCAGGGGGTGGAAGGTAAACCACATGAATGAGACTGGGATGAGAAGAGATGATTCAAGAGAAGAAACTTTCAAGGCCAAAGAGTTAACAGTGAAGTCAGGGACGGGAAGACGACTGAGAGGCAGGGTCAGGGCAGAGGAAACAGAGCTCACTCTTGTTTAAAGGGATGTGGGAAAGGTTATGCAGGGAAAACAAAGAATAGTCTAGAGAGGACAGGGTGTGGGGCTCACACCTGTAACTCTCACACAGGGAGGTCTGGAGAAACAGCACAAGTTCAAGGCCAGCCTGGGCCATACACGGAGATCCTGTCTCAACACAGAAAAATATAAGCAAGTCACTGAGTAAACAAACAAATTACTGCCATCAACAAAAGAAATTAAAAGGCCATGGAATAGTCTGGAAGACAGTGGTTCCACAGGCAGGCCAGAGGGGTGGAGCAGGCAACAGGAACTTTAGGTAATTTTAGAGAATGAAAGAATGCTGAGGTATCTCAGAGCTTAATGGTGCCTATTAGCGCCTCATTTGCTTTTAATAGGAATAGCAGAGATGGTCTGGGCCTTAATAGGGAAAAGAAATGCCTTATTTGCTTTCAATCTTCATATAGTTGCAAGGATTAATACTATTAATTTAAATATACGGCAAGCCATTTCTACACACAGAGAGAACTCCATCATTCACAAGAAGGTTTGGAAATCTCCTTCTCTAGCAAGAACATGCCACTTCCATTTAGCAATAAGTTATTAAGATACTTAATAAGCACTGCAAATTGTGTTTTAATCTACAGGGTTAAATTCAAGCATCGTATGCTAGAATTTGTTTTATTCAAGAATATTGAAGGAAAATTTTCTGAGGCAAGTAATGTGTTCATTTTCAAGGGATATTAGGATTCAGGAAAGCAATAGATACATAACATAATGTGTCAAGGGCAATAAAATAGTACAAACACAATCATCAACAACGAGAAAAACTAACAAGGACTCACTAATAGTTGTTATGTGGTAGAAACAGCATGCATATTCATTGTATGCAGTAAAATGGAGTGATTGTTGGTGATGCTCAATAGACTGAAAAAAAGCACTCCCCCAAAACGCCTAAGCGCACATACACTGGTGTGCACACTTACACACACATGTCCTACTGGTATCCTGGACAGAAATACTCCAGCCTGATATTTAAGCCAAAATAAAGATATCTGAAGTCAACATAAAATCAATATACCAACCCTTTTAAAATGATATATGTTGCTGGACTTAAAACGTCAGGAGAAAAAAAGTTTTTCTGCAGACCAAAGAGGCATCTTGTCCATATGTAGGAAAAACCACAGCATGAACCACTCACCATCAAGAACATAGGATTCACAATGAGATGGGTGCTCACGGGCACAATTATCATAAAGGCAGGTACATGGTCTTCTGGTTACTAGTTCAGCTAACGCAACAGTCAACAGTGTTACATGGTGTGCTCATCAACTGTGCGGGCTGATAGTCCAAGAAAATGCTCACGTGACTCAAAAATTATTTCATGGCACAACATTCGACAACTATCTCTGAGGAACAGAAATTATTCTGACTGGCTGGCAAGGCAGCTCGTGAGAACATACCTCCTGTCTGGTTGGTGGGCCATGTGGCCAACGTCCTCCGGACAGTCCTGTAACATGGGCTGGAGTTCTTCCTGGGGCGAAGGGGTGAGAGTGGCTGTGGACTGATGGCTATAGGACACAGCAGCTGGAGAAGAAGCAGCCCCCCGTACAGGGGGTGTGGGGCCTCTTTCATCCTCCTCTTCCTCTAGCTCATCCTGTTGCAAATACATCCTTGCAGGTGGCACAGGACATGGCATTTCTTGGTCATAGCTACGACAGATTATAAGAAGGTGCGGTAAACTATTTGTATTAGAGCATGCTGGCACTAAATTACTTTCAGGTCGGTAGGTCTGGGCCTAATTAAAGAATCATTGTTAGGAACCAGCTCGTTGTTAGAAGTTATCAGAACATACAACAGCATGGCATAGGGGTGGAAAGTCTTAAAATAGGAAATAACTTTGCATAGTTGTTTTAGTGCATCTCCAACATACTTGGGCCATTCTGGCTTTGTCATTCATAGGTTTTTGTTTGTTTCCTTGTTTTTTCAGAGAAAGGATGAAAATGTACTGCAAATGGCCCAAGGTGATGTTCTAAACTGGGAGAATCCTTCCAAAGGGGCTCAAGCTATTTAGTCCAGCACCACCCATGTTTCCTCTGACACTACAATGAAGCAGCTTTGCTTCTTTCGTTGAGTACCAGACTGACTGGTTTGTAATTGGGATTCTGAATGTCAAACACAATGGCCTTGGACAATCAAATGCCTTTTCCTCCAAGACAGAGCTGCAATGGGCATCAGGATGCAGACAGGGAGAGCAAGCTCTCCTCATCCTCTCGCCCCTGGGCATGGTCATTCATTTCAATGGCAGAGACAGATTATACTGTATAAATTGTATACTTCTTTTTCTTACTGTCTCTCCCTTTATTTTTTCTTCTTCTATTTCAGAGAGACAGCAGGTCTTGTTTTACAATCTAGCCTAGCCTCAGTCTCACAATCTGGCCGAGGCCTCCTGACCACGGGGATTACAGGCGTGCCCGATGAGAGCTCCTTTTGTTAGCCCCGCCTTTACTAATATGCCACCACCTGTTTGGCTTCCATCGGAGATACTGTGCTTATTCTGTGTATCCTTTTCCTTTTCTAATTCTAATGAGTTCTCCTTTGTCCCTCTTGTCTGTTACCTTTGTTCTCAAGAAGCAAAGGAATTTGTTCTCATATCTGGACATCTTATAGAGCACTCTTCATGTTTTCTCTCTTCTGCATCAAGCAATTCCCCGGCCCATCTCTACCCGCTCTGTAAGAAGCCACCCGAGAGTCCAGCTCTTCACTTGTGCTTGCTGTATGTGCCACTGTGGCAACCTTTCAATCCATCCCTTTGCTTCTGATCCCACATTTTCCCCCGTATCTTCAAGTGGCTCCAAATTTGCAAAATTAATTGTGCGGCTCTCACGGACCATTCGTTTACTCCAGAGCAATAAACTATTCATCAATTGCTTTAAACAATAAAAGATAAAAATGCCAAGGCAAAGGCAAGATATTCGGGGATCAGCCGATCTGGTTTACATCTGCCTTCCCAGCTTCCCCGCTCCCATCCATGTGTTTCCTCTTAGCTCTCCAGGAGTCTGCATCTCTGTGTGGTCCCGGTGTCCAGAACCCCCGGTTCTTTATTCAGAACCTTCCCCTGTGTCAAGGTTAAGAACAGCTGCCATTTGATCAGGAAGCTGCTATTCTTCCCATTTGAAACCATGCTCTTTGGGGTGTCCGTGTATCGCCTAAAGGGTTTGTTTTTGTTTTTTCTTTCTTTATCTAAACTTCACGTTAATAGTGTGTGTGTGTGTACTAAGTAGTAACTATAGTATTAAAATAGCTGGGACAATAAACTTTTAAAAACAACAGCTGACCGGATCTTTGTTACTTGCACACTCCGTGCCAGCAAATTTACTGACTCGGTAAAATTTATATGTAACCACAAAATCAGTCTGGGTGACATTTTCATGGTCATTCCCACATCTGCACAGAGAGAGAGAGAGACTTGGTCCCTGAGAGAAGGGGAAAGGGACAAGATCTCCTAAGCTAATTGGGAGCATGTCGGGAGGGGAGAGGGAGTTAGAATGAGAAGGGGAGAAGAGGAGGGGAGAGGAGGACATGAGGGAGCAGGAAGATCTAGTCAGGGGAAGAATAGAGGAGAGCAAGAAAAGACATACCATCATAGAGCCAGCCATTATAGGTTTAAAGAGAATTCTGTCACTAGGGAAATGTCCAGAGATCTACAAGGTTGACCCCAACTAACAATCTATGCAATAGTCAAGAGGCTACCTTAAATGCCCTTCTCCGAAAATGAGATTGAGCACTACCTTATATGCCATCCTAGAGCCTTCATCCAGTAACTGATGGACGCAGAAGCAGCCACCCACAGCTAAACACTGAGCTGAACTCTGGAATCCAGTTGCAGAGAGGGAGGAGTGATGAGCAAAGGAGTCAAGACCAGGCTGGAGAAACCCACAGAAACAGCTGACCTGAACAAGAGGGAGCTCATGGACCCCAGACTGATAGCTGGGAATCCAGCATAGGACCAACCCAGACTCCCCTGAACAAGGAGGTCAGTTTGGAGGTCTGGGAAATCTATGGGGCCACTGGTAGTGGATCAGTATTTACCCCTAGTACACAAATAGACTTTGGGAGCCCATTCCATATAGAGGGATACTCTCTCAGCCTAGACACATAGGGAGGGTCTAGGCCCTGCTCCAAATGATATGACAGACTTTGAAGATCCCCCATGGAAGTTTAAATTAAAAAAAAAAAAGAAAAAAGGAAATTAACTTTTCAAAAAATAAAAGAAAAAATATAATGACCTGCTTTCAGGAGTTCATATTTATACCCTAAATAATCACCCTCCAAACAGTTTTCATAGTTCCAAGCTTCTTCCTTAATTTCTTTCATTTCTTTTGAGTTTTGCAGCAATATTGGTGATTTTCCTGACTGTCGTGACATGCAATGGAGGTGTGGCTGTACCACTAAGCTAAGGAGATAGTGATGGACTCTGTGTCCCTTATAGGTGAATACGCTCAGAAATGACCTAGTGCTGTTGGCTGTGAGCATCCCATTAGTGAAGAACATATGTTAAGGAAAGTATTTTAAACAAAACATATGCACTGACAAAAATCACTGAGGTGGAGACTCGGAGGAACTCCTTCCTCCTTCCCCTAGGCATTCATATTCAGTAACGGAGCATCAGCAGTGAACACCTCCAGGAAGGCAAAGGCTATACAGAGAAACCCTGTCTTGAACAGTGCCATAAAAAAAAATACAATGTGATCACTACCGGATAGGCATTTTTCCATTCCAATATAATCTATTGGGATTAACATCACATAACATGTTTTCACACTGGCTTCAGTGGATCTATGAGTATATAAATAGTTTTTGAAATATCATGCAGTCCTGTATATATGGTTCCATGCATATGAGCTTCCATGCATATGCACACACACTATTTTTAATATGTACATACATGTGTACACATATATAATTAGAAGCATCTGTACACTTGCATATACATATAACATGTGTGTCAAAGAAGCTTCCTAAAACTTAAGTCATATTTGAGACAGACCTAGGGAGAGCTCCTACATGGGTGCAAATAAAATGCATGTATACATAATACAGGCATCTAATTTTCAGACACTAAGGAAACTTCCTAAACCTTCATTCATATTTGAAATTTCACTGATGAGGGCTATTAAGTCCTGCTGCTTGATTTAGAGACTGGCGTTTGGGAACCTGAGGAATCTCCCGTGGCAATACCGTGCACCCTGACTTGTCTGCTCTGACACGTGCTCACCTCTTACCACACCTGACCCCCTTACCTTTCATCTACGGACAGGCTGTAGTCTTCGCTGTTGCTATGTGGCCGGGGGAGGGGGAAGCAAGTCTGCCCAGTTCATTCCACCCTGCTTGGGGGCCTTTGGTGTCCTTGCCCCTTTCTTGTGCCCCTGGCTCCCTAGAAAAGAAATAAAATACAGATCCTTTGTTCCTGACCTTTACATTTAATTTTCCATTATTAAAGAAATTAATATTATCTGCTACTATCCTACAATTCATCTCTCCTCTCTCTTCTCTCTCTCTCTCTCTCTCTCTCTCTCTCTCTCTCTCACACACACACACACACACACACACACACACACCACACATGCTCTTTTCTTCATTAAGCAGAACTTGATACAAGAGAAAAGGCAAAATACTTCCAAGTTCAACTGCCAAGTACATAGCAAAGGCAGCAAATAAGCTTAAATGAATTTTACAAGTCATATCATTAATAGCAATCTTCCCACAGCAATTAATTGCATTATGGATTATCATCTGAAACAAATGAGCTGTGCACATATTTTCTGGAGTGCCTTTTTATTATTTAATTGCTGAATCTTAAAATACAATAAAATACAGATACGATCTATTAGTGTTCTACTGTTGCATTAAATCACTGAATATATATAATTTGTACTTGTCCATTGGAAAGTTCCAGGCACAATGAAGTTGCTCATTTTCTTGGAGAAGGGAGCTAGGGGTAAAATAAATTGCCTGAAGAACTAATATATTTAATGACAAAAGAAGGAGAGAAATACATTTTAGAAAAGTAGTTTTAAATCACTATTTCTGTAAAATTATAGCTTATAATAATAAGATGATGTTCCTGAATGTTTCCAGTAGATTGAAGTAGACCAACTATTCATTTACTATGGCATTTTGACTTTAGAATGGACTTACTGTTTAAACATTGGTAGCTGTATCTAAACTAATTGTTAGAGAGTTTTAAGTCAAAAGATTGTGTTCGACGAAACTCTCCCACTTAAAGTATTTCAGATCTACGTGGACATACATTAACAATATGGAGTCTGTAATTATTTTTTCTCAGATGAGCCCCCAGTATCACGGAATTACTTTAATTTTTTCTTATGACTCTGAAATAAGTCCCGCGGGAGAAGAAACAGGCCTTCGCTTATTCAATAGCCTTTAAAATGATTTTAAGTCCCTTGGGACTTTTCAGGCCCAGGAACTGTTTGTCATGCTAGCTGTTCTTGGGCTGGTCTGTTATTGCATCAAAGTGTGGGCTGAAGGGCAAGCCAGCTGTTAATAATAAACGGTGACTGTCAGTCACATGCCTGGGGTCTCTATGTTCTCTTACACCTACAGCTGCCTGTATTGGAAGGACTATGGGGCATGAGCCATGGAGTTAGCCTTCCTCATGGTTTCCTCATATACATCTTCCCCAAGAACAGCATCTGCCTTCAGATGCTCAACAATGCAGCCCTACCCTGAGTTTCATTCATGGGCTTTGCTCTCCTCCACCTAGCCTTAGATTTCAAATCTTCAGTATCCTCTCACCAAGCACTCACAGAATAACCAACGCTAACAGAAGTGTCAAGGTCAGGTATCTAAAGTGAGGGATGTAGAAGCCAGCTGGAAATCCACAACCTGGAATTATGTCCTTCCCAATCAGTATACAATGTTCTCTACAAACAGCTGAGAATTCAAAGACGAAGAGGCATATAGTAATCAAACACTCAGATACTGTATATGATTTTTCCAGAAACAGATACTCAAAGAGATTGTATTCAAAACATGGAGTTTAGTTACTTTGAAGAAGAGAATGGGAAAAAATCCTGCAATTCTTTGAAAAGAGAATAGTCAATACAATCTGAGAAAAATCTAAAATGGTAGAGAATCATCTCTAAGCTCCTTAAATTCTCTTGGGTATCTTTCCAGCAAGGCTAGAAAATGCCGCACCATCGTGCCCCGGCTAAGGGAAGATGGGGAGCTGCAAATGTGGGCATCACTACAGAAGAGGGCAGGGCCACTGCACACAAAGACCCTAGCAACAACTCCTGCAGTTGCCAGGAAGCTCCATTCTTCTCTGTCCTGGAGAAATGCACTCCTCTTAAGATCAATCGCTCTGTTCTCATTGTGGTGTGACTTGCCACATGTTAGTTCTAATAATGAACCGCCTTTAATTACAAAAACAGGACTTAACTGCCAGCAAACTCCCATCTGCAGCCCTATCTGAAAAACAGCTGGCAGACAGCTGCAGCCGCACACGGACCCACAGGGAAGCCTCACTGTGGCTTCTGAGCCAGGACAGGCTGAGACCGGGAGGAAACTTCCTGAGCTTTCCAGCAAGAACTGGGAGATCTCAGAGAGTGGGAACTAAGATAGGTTCCTGCCGTCCGTCCCTCCAGCCCCCATTATTGTTTCTTGGGCTTTCTTCTCCTCAAGCACACCAGTGGTAACCTAGTTAGCAAATTAATCTCATATGCACTGTTTGGGGTTAGATTTTGGCTAAGGGAAGAAAAAGAAGTTTAACTGCCTTGAAAAATTATTGTATACTTTTGACTCTGTTAAGACTCAGTAACAAGGAAACACAACGCTTGGTGCGAGATGCCAGGCGGGACAGGAAGCAGTTTCTTGAGCGGACAATTGCTTTAAACTGCAGACCAAACCTGGGTCTGGGACTCCTAGGATACAGAGAGGTGATACAAGCACTTCAGTACAACAGTTCATAGCACCCTGTTCATCATTTCTTTTTAAGAGAAAAACTGACACTGTCTTTTTTGTCTTTTTTTTTTTTTTTTTTTTTTTTTTTTTTTTTTTTTTTTTTTGTACTTACCAGATGTACTACTGCCCCGATCTGAGCTGTTGTAAGATCCTCCTGTATTCTGGTCATAGGACTGGTTGTATGGAATGGTTGGGGGGATTGTATCATTTGCCCGATAATCTAGACAGTTTGGATAGAAAAAAAAAGATAATTATTTATTTCCTCTTAGTTATTTCACGTTTGTTTTGTTTATATTTCTGGGTAAGTGAAGAAGCCAGGTGGACCATTTCCTTGTCTGATTTCATTTTTTTCTCTTCAGATTATCAGAGTAGAGAAAAAGCTTCTAGTTGAAGTGGACACATACATGTATGTGTTTTTAAATATAACAACAAGGAGTGTGGTCACAGCCTTGGAATACAGTGCATGTTTAACCTATATTAGAACTTGGATTCAGTTGAAAGCCCAGAACAGTATACTTGTAAACTATCTCCCTCCCCCACCCCAGAAGGCAGAGGTATTGTCAACCAAGACAGATGCCAACTGTATCCAGACCTAAATCTTTGTTCATTCTCTTAGGCTGCCTCTCTGCTTAAGCACACACCAAGGCTGTGCTCTGTAGCCTAACTTCAAATGGTAACATATATAGCAGATCAGCGACATAGGTAACTCTAGCTATGTAGTAACAAAACTTAGACACGTCAGCAACATTGTATCCAGTAACAATATATCCCTAATAAGGAAACACAGTGTCTCAATCCAGCCCAGCAAGGCCACTTGCTTGGGCAGAGGTGAAAATGTAAATGATAAGCCTACCACTGGCACAGGGGCACCGCTCAGTCTGTCAGTCTGTTCCCATTCCCAAGTCTTTACTCTACTCAGTTTGCTCTCAAACAGTATAAATGAGCCGAAGTTGTAAACTATTTGTACACAGGACTTCCAGACCTTTCTAAGGCTCACAGTGAAAGCACATAATTTGGCAGAAAAAAATGTGACAAGACTTTGAACCACCACAGTGAACTCCATGACTATAGAAGCTGTCCTGTCCTTGTCAGTATTTGTCATGAACTTATGCAGGAGTCTTAATGAATTTCATTAATTTGGGTTATTATATCAATCAAGTGCTTCCTGAAACTTGGGAAAAGGTTAGATGACTTTATGATGAAATTAAAACATATAGCGTGGATTTAATCAAATGAAATGCTTAAATTACCTTGTGGTAATCTCGAGTTGTAAGCCCCAAGAAAAGAAATCCTTGCCTCTAATTACTTACAGTAAAATGCATCTTTTACCTGTTTACTTGCACAACATTGTCCCATCTATTCAAATGAGAGCAATCTTGTTTTTCCTAGAGGTATAACTTTGCAAATCATGCTATTACGGCAGTAGCCCGAAGAACTACAAAGAAATCAAGCACCCATCTCCTCCAACCCACACATTACAATACAGAGACAGACATTCCCCTCAGGCCATACAATACCATTCCAGTGCTTCAAGTTAATATTAAACTCAATTTATTTTAGGCTCTATACTGACAGACTTCAATCAGGTCAACCAAGGAAATTTAGGTCCTAGAATTATATATTATAGTAGCCAGAGTTACCACATGAAATGATACAAGAAATTGAACCACTTCTCCAGTTCGAGTTTAATTTAATTATTTTTCTTCAGTTTGATATAAAAGTGCCATTCGCTTATATGACCATGTAGAAGCAATTATCTTCCATCCTCAAGTGGAAAGGATGGAATAGTCTATTTATTGAGAATGTGAGGCATTGTGCGAGCTGTACATCTACCTTATGAATAAAAGATTGCGTGTCCTAAGCAATCCCTCACCTACTATTAAATTTAAATTAATCTCCAAACCATTTGAAAATACTTATATATTATTATAAAATCAATTTTCCAAGGTTATTGTTGTGCTAATTAACTCTTTGACACTGGAAATTTTGAAGCCAAAGAAACAAGAATAATTTCAGTAATCAAAGGGCAGATTTGGTTTGGTAGCCACAGAGTGGTTTTCATAGTTGCTGCTGGGGTTAAGGGTAATGCTACGGAAAGGGGTGGGAACAGATGCAAAACCCTTCACCTTTGTTCAGCTTGTTTTGCTCCATGATGTTATACTGAATTGGTGCCACTTCCTGTTTCTGCTGACCCGGAGGCTTCCAGTGTTTCTCGCTGGAGTCCCCGCCGCCATTGTTCATGTTGTTGCTGAGATTGGCCTGGATGAGCTGCGTAGTGGCGTAGGGAGTGGGCTGCCCTGATGGATTGACAAAACGCCCGTCCTTCAGATTTGGGCTATTGAAGGTTTTCATCTCATTGATTTTGTTACTAAGGTCCACATCACCATAAACAGTTGACTCAGGGAGCATCAGATTTGTTTGTTTGTTATCCAGTTGGTTGTTATAATTTGCTATACAATCAGCTACGTGCAACGAAGAGGAAAAGGAAAAAGTCATTCTGCATGGTTATTCGTCTTAAACGTTTTCTCTAAGAAGCTGTCTGAGTCATAATGAAATTGGTCTATAAAGTACAAGTGTACCTAAGATGAACAGAAGGAGCGAAATACGCACATGGGCTTTCAAAGGAAACCGAAAGGAAATAAGAATGCTCACACATTTTTGTGTAGGAACCCAGTAATTTGGGACCTGTTAGTGTCATGCATGATCCAGTTTAAAAAGGCCTTCTTTAAACAGCTCCATCAATAGGAATTCCACTACAACAGTATACAGCAGATCTGTATGCACCACCGTCCCATTTCCTGGCCTCAGGTTACTGCCCTATTTGAAACTACTAGTTAGCTATTGAAAGAACAGAGCTAAGCAAATAAGTTGAGGACTCAGACCAGGGCTGAGTAAAAAAACCTAACTGCACTATCAAAGACCTCATATTTCAGTATTTTATAAAATGCTTCTATTCAGAGCTAAGAGGGATGGGGGAAAAGTAACAGTAAATAGCACTCAGGAGGATCTTATTAGTTCATTATTTGGACAACAGGGCAATCGTTATCTGAGAAGGATGGTACCTAACCATTGTTCATGGTTTCATAATGACACCTCATGATGTCTAAAATGACAGTAATGATGACAAGATGAATCATGGTCACCAGGGTCATTTAGTCAAATAAAGACAGAAATAATATCCAGTATTCCTATCATCTCATTCCCATGCTAATTCTACCTTCATTGAGATAACTAGAAACTCAATAACACATACATAGATGTGTTTTAAGCCCACAGTTCAAACTATTAAAGCAGCAGGAAGAGCTAAAGTTGTATTTTAAGTTGTAACACTGGAAATTGAAAAGCCACCATGAAGGAATAACATTATTTTATTCATGTGGCACCAACATTAACAGCTTCCTTGGAGAATTAGCTTTCAATGGGACATCTTTAAAATTAATAAATTAACATGCTTGCTACTTACGGGGGCATTGCAATTTCCCTATCCTACTGAATTCAAGCACTCTGCATATCTGTCATACACCATGGAGCATGGATGTGTAGTTCATCTGGCCTGTAGTAATTCCATCTTTAATTTCTAGACATTAGGTTCTGCTTAGCAGCAAGTAAGAAATACAACAAAAGCAATATGGTTTTGGAAACCTCATCATGTTTTGGCAATCTTTCTGTTTGAGTTTTATGAAATAGGTTGTTTCTAATCTTCACACACACACACACACACACACACACACACACACACACACACACACCCCCAC